CTGCAATGCTCGCGTCTTCTTTTAGACTTTCAAAAACCAAAAATACAAAAGAAATGTAAGGAATGTATTAAACTGTGTGTTTATCTGCAGTAACATAAGATGCACACATTAGTATACCAGACTATATAGCTTACTACTGTAACCTCGCCTTACTGCCAAAAGGTGGGAGCTAAGTCACTATATCAGAGTTAATGGATAGCTTAAAGAAAATAATGCTACATTCATGATAGCACCTCTGTCCTGCACTTGATTTGGTCTATACTTTACTTTTCCAGCATGTCCTGCCAAAACTGGTGCTGTAGATAGTGTTACATTTGTCTCATCTTCAAATCCTATGTTCTGTGTGAAGCATGCTGAGTGAAAATACAGACAATGAAGCATAAATCTGACCATTGTGTTTTGTATTAAAAGTACTTTTTTCTATTGTAAGCATATAAAGATTTAAAGGTTTATATTATAACAAATAACTTTATAATGATGTGCATCTTTATCATCAGTCTTTTAGTATTATATCACCAGATATTAAAAACCTTTTAGGCTTCTTGGTTCAAAAATAGCCTGCTGAAAACACTAGGAAGTCTGCTAGGGACAGAGTTGTCAAACAAACAGGGTTTAGTGTTAAGCATCAGCCAACTCTACCTAGGTACAGTTGTTGAGATCTGCTAGTATTGTATCTAGTCATCATATAGCATTTGGAGTGCAGGGGGCACTCCTGAGGACCTTCTTCAAAAGCATCAGCCATCTTCTATCAAGTGGTCTGCTGGGATGTAGAATTACATTGCCTAATGTTCAGCATCTCGGCTGAAGACAGAAAAAGGCTAGACAAAGTGGTAAAGAGGGCCAGCGCTGTCCTGAGAAGTCCCCTTTACCCAGTGCTGGTGGTGGGTGACAGAAGGAGCTAGCATCCCTGCTGGAGGAGGACTCCCACCCTATGCATCAGACTCTGACAGCACTGGGCAGCTCCATCAGTGAGAGACTGCTTCACCCTAAGTGCGTGACCGAGTGCTATCGCAGTTGCTGTTAGGCTGTACAACCTGCACTGCTCAAGTAGACCCCCATCTATTCTTAACACTGAGTGCCTTGTTTCTCTCCCTTTACTGCTGTAGCTTTGTAAACTGTGTGACTAATAAAGGTTCATCTTATATAAGACAGCAACATCGTTGGCTAGAAACGAGAAGCCTGTTGTTGTTTGTCTTGGTGAAACTGAACGCCCAGTGTTTAAAAATAATTTCAAGTAGAAAATGTGTCTCCATTATCACTGTCAAATACTGTGTGTGCCGTAGCCTATATGCACAACCTACGTACTGTATATACATATGTGACCGAGGAGCTGCTGCTACCCAACTATACAAAATGGTCAGTTCTACAAAGCAGATCATCGACTGTCTGCAGTCAATGAAATGGGCAGGAAATATCCATTCGACAGAGAATTTTAGATTTTAGATAAAGCTGTTGGAGCCTACTGAATTCCTGTTTGCTGTTTCATAAGTAGGCTAAATGACCAGCTCCCTGGCCTGGACTGCCCTATAAGAGCTGTGGCTGAGAGCTGCTGCACAACATGATGGAAGCTCTCTGTGCTCCACTTAGATGTTAAAGGGCATGTTAACATTCTGAATTCATGTTGTTTTCTTCCAGGAAACACTCATAAATCCCTCCTGCACATCGCTCTCTGAGAGGCAAAAACACATTTTAGAAAATAGAAAACGGCATTTCAAACAGCGGGACATGCGCTGTGTGTAGGGCCTCACGATGCGGTGGGGGCCTCATTTTATGCACAAATTTGGTGCAATTATGCGTGCCGCAGCCTAATGTCACCGCATCATTCGCGACATCCACATGCACCAAGTGAAATATTTGAAACATATTTGATCATGTATATCTTTTTTACTTTAAGTGTTTTGTTTTTTTTTTTGGAAAAAAAACAACAACTGAGAAAAACAGGAACCACTAACAGACTGGAATTGACAAAGCCAAATGACTGTCAAAATTGTGTCCTGTTGTCCATTGTCTTTTAATTTTATGACAAGTTGGCACAACAAAAGCACATCACAATTATACAGACATGCACTTTAGAAAATCAATTTATTTTGCTTTGAAAAGAAAAGAAGAATCTGCCAGATAGATAAAATCGCATGGCCCTTTCTCAAAGTGTGTATTCTCACACCTTCACCATACTCTTCTTTTAAAACTCCAGTTCGCATTCTCTCTTGCACACACACACACATTTCACACTTACTCCATACTGTTCTAGCGTCTCTAACAGTGTTCACCGTTTGCACTTCACTGCTGCTTGTCACGAATGAGGAGTTCAACCTGGTCGAGAGATGTTTATCAAAAAAATGACGTATAGATGGACACAGACAGTAACTCATTTAGGGACTAGCATTTAAAAGCAAATCTATAGCTAATGTATATGTGTTGATGCAGGCTATTTAAGTGGCCCGTTAATTCATGACACTGTGACAGTGAGCCAGTATACACAATACCAGGGCCCTGAAACTGAAGCTGCTAAAAAGTATTCAACTATCATTAATTTAATTATTTACACCTGTGCTTTTTCTAATATGACGTCAGAATATTTTACATGAAAAGGCCATTTAATAGCTCTAGGCTGCTTGTTAAGGTTACGAAGTATGGCTTACATAAATGTAAAAATGTTTTTGTTTTCCTGTGATCTGTTGGTGAAGTTTGGTGTTGCTGGTTTTACATTGCCTAATGTTCAGATGTATTTACAGCAGATCCATTTATATGACAGAAACCTGAGACACATGAAACAGACACACACAGCAGGGGAATAAATAACAGGACTCCTGAGATGCACGCTCAAATAACATTTCTTTCCTTGCAATTCAGCTATCACATGTCAATGCAAAACAAAACACTGTTTCAGGACTGAGTGATTGATTAACTGATTTAGTTATATAGATGTCTATGGACACTATTAGAAGGTGACTTGAAGCTGAAATCTGTGATAAGTGTAGCTGAAACAGATCAGGGCAGAGTCAGGCCGTGATCTTGCTCTGGAGGTCCATCAGGCCTCGCTGGCATTGCTGTACTCCCTCATGGGGGTGGGGGTCCTACATTCTACCTGACCGGCAGTCAGACATGATTGCACACCCAGAGACAGGACATTCATCTCAGATCTGTCCGCGTGCGGCCTCTGAACCAAGCTACTAGACTGCTTCTGGATGATTCCTCAGTGGGCTGCGATTGTGTCAGCAGCTGTCTGCAAGCACACCACCATAAATACACTCCACTCTCCACTGGCTGGAAGTCAAACAGTAATATGCCAGCCAAGAGAGAGAGACAGAAGGGATGAGCACAAAAATATATAGTGATGGGCACAATAAGGTGTGCACAAACAGCAGAGTGCTGAAGGACGTTTTTAGCAAAGACCATATTCAGTTGGAGAGCAGTGTGAGGCGGTATAATAAACAGACAGACTCATGTTTAAATGGATAGGAGAGGGAGGGAGCAAAGAAGTGAGATCCATGCACATTAGTATTTAACCCCTCACGTATCACAAGACCCTACTCTTTCTCTGTCAGCAGCTCTACCTCAATAATCGATCGCGTTCATGCAACCTGTGGAAACAGTGAGACAGAGAGCGAGCAGTCATACGAGCACATGCGAAGACGGATCCTCTGTGAGTAAACACGGCAATGTCCAAAAATAAAAATCTGATTTCTTGCTCTACTGATGTCCCAGAAACGAGCCACTGCAATGCTCATTTCACGGCTATGAATGCAGCCCTTTTAGCCTCTGGAGCTCCAAAATGTTCATAATTAAATACATAAGACATTATGAAAAATGACATTTTGCAACAAAAACTGCTGGAATTAAATAAAGTGAATCTGTAAAAAGTCTTATTGTGAAAACACAACAAATATATCAAAATAATAAACAGATTTTTAAAACATAATGAAAATAAGTTCATAAAAATGAGCTGTATTTTAAAAATGTGTTTATTTTACACTTTCATGGTCATCTTATAAAATACTCAGTATTTATTCAAATAATTAATTATTTCATAATGTCTTATTTGTTCATTAAACACTTTGGGGCTCCATATTAGCCACTTACTGGGACTTAAAGGAGCCGTGGAAGGTGTAACAACAACCATGTCCTCTGCTGTTCCTTCAGTCCAGAGTTCTAGTGTCACATAGACCCTGTCTTCTGGCAGAAACACGTCACAAACTAAACAGTGTTGCCACAAATCCACTGTTGTGCCCAGGAACATTATAGCAAGCCTCCAGCTTCAAATGCCACAGTAATTTCACAAAACACTACAGACTGTCAATAATAAAATACTCAAAAGCTTCTCAAACCATGACTGCAAGAGGCCTGCACAATTATTAACTTCTGAGTGCATGTATATATGTGTGGAATATTGGAGGAGGGAGTTTAGCAAACCATGCTGAGTACTGAGCTAATCAGTATGAGAGCTTACTCGACAGTAACCAGGCTCCACCAGTGGGTAATTATGCTGTAGTAACAAAAATAGTGTTAGCTGGACAGGCGGGGACAGGCGGGGACACACTGTGTTTTTGTGTGCAGGCTACTGTCTGTCGCTCAGACTGTACAGCAGCAAACAGAAAAAAAAAGGATCTACGACGCAAGTCTGCTGAAACGAGCCCTGTCCTCAATCCGCAGGCTGTGAATCACGCCTAAACGGACACGCCCCCTCCAGGCGGTGGCATCGAACCAGCGACACCGTGATAAACAAACAGCAGCTGTGATACGATCATTACTGCTTAGATACCGGCGCTGGTGGACTGAACCCATGATTACGACTCGCAATTCCATTTCACCCACAAACAGGCCTAAGCAAAGGTTTGTGATCTGACCACCGAAACATGCCTCCCCCCCTTTAGTGCAGACTGACAGATGACTACAAAAAATGACATTTTAATCAAACCAGCTACACGCACGCTCCTCCCCGCCTCTTAAATTCGCGTGGCGGTGCGCTCCTGGCCTCTGTCGTGTTCAGCATATCTCACCTTGCTTGACACATTTGAAGCGAACCGGGTCTTTGCAGTGTTTAATCACAGCCAGCACGTCCCGGGTGGTGAGCCCAGCCACTGGCATGTCGTTGACCTCCAGTAGCAGCTCATCCTGGGCCAGTTTGCCGCTCTGGATCAGTCCCTTTCCCTGCTTCACTTCGCCGAAGTAGGGAAATTGGCCGTTCTCCGCGCCCCCCTTCAGCTCGAACCCCAGCTCCCCTTCCTTTCCCCGGGCTATCACCGCTTCGTGGACTTTGTTGGTCCAGTGGTTCTTCTTCTTCAGGCTTTTAGACATGGTTAGGGCGAGTTAATCACCACGGGCTAGCCCATACAAAACCTCCTACCGTTTCATCCCTGCTTTTGTGCGACCGGCTGCAGCTTCACAGCGACCGTAGCTCCATCACCACCGGTGCACGCCAGGCGCAGTGTCCGCTCGGCGAGCCGCGCAGTCGTGCGGAGGGCTGCAGTAGGCTACAGCTCGGTGGCCGGTAAAAAAAATTATTACTCTGTCAGACCAACATAAGCAGGAGACAGATACTGGCGGATGACCCGGATGTGAAGCATGAAGGAGGGGAGAGATGAGTGGTTCTGGTTCGGCGTAAAAGGATGGAGAGGAGGGGAAAGCACACAGGAGGTGCTTCACTCCCACTACACTGCCAGGGGCGCTTCCTCGGGCTCACTGTGATCACACACTGGCGACGACATTTAAGAAAAACATCCCTTTAGACTACATTATACATAAACCTCAGTGGGAATAAGATGCCTTTATGGCTGCACCCTCCAAATATATAAGGAAATGATTCATTAAAGAGATGAACGACTTATGCAACATGAAATATGGAGCGCAGTTTTTTTTTCCCAGAGATGAAATTCATAACCTGTTACATGGGAGAGTGTTCAGAGGCACTTAGTTTGTGATGTTTACTCCAAAATAATAGCAAGGTTTTTGTTACATGATAAATGATACTGAAAAACTGCATTATTACCTGAAATTTGAGGACCCATCTCACAGAGATTACCTCAATTTAAAATACTATTTTAAAGCCTTTATTGGGCCATTTAATATTTTCACAGAGTAACGTCATTATTGGACACTTATGTAAAGCCCTGGGTTTATGTGTAACAACAAACAAACAATAAGTGTGTGTGTGTGTGTGTGTGTCTGCACAAAGCATCTGTAGTATGGTTAAAAGTTTGAGAAAGATTATATGGTTACACTTATGTTCAGGTCTCATGTGCAGGTCTCTGACCAGGGGCGAACTCCAGACTCCTGTGTGAAATTCCACCTTTTTTGACTTGCTACATTACATATAGGGCATATTTCTTCCCACACTGACACTAAATATGTCAATCACAAGATGCAGAATTATCCAATATGTATGTAATTTTGGGAAATGAAGGGCCAGTAGAGGCCCACAGCACATGTGAGGCCAAGCCTGGATAGTTTGACCCCCGACACTAATACTAATACTACTATATAGATTGTACTATCAGTCTTGTTTATAGCTGAAATGCAAATATATATGAGTGCTTATGGACCAGCAAGCTCCAAGTCCACCAAGTCCAAAAGAGAAAGACAAATCATTTTGTTTTCATTACTTTTTGATGGCTGCACGGGTTTCTAAAGCAGCTGAAGTAAAGTTTTATTCAATATTTAGCACAAATGTCAAGAGCTGTGCCTCCAAATCTATTGAGACTGACAGCCCCTCTTACTTTCACTCTCACCATTTGTGTTTGTGTGTGTGTGTTCTTGTACTTGCCAGATAGTGAGGACCAAAAAATTTTTTTTTTTGCTACAGAGTGAGGACATTTTGGCTGGTCGTCACTTTCTTAAGCACCATTAAGACTTGTTTTAGGGTTCAGGTTAGAAATAAGTTTAGGTTATGGTTAGGTATTAGGGTTATTAATTCATTAATTAATAATGAAGCAGATGATGATCCAGACTTAGATGGTATAATCCAGAAAACTGGCTGGATTAGGAGATCACAAACTCGGGGGAAATAAATTCCTTTTTCCTCTTATTTGTGCCTCTGCTGGTGGATGTCAGAACAGTAGTTTCACCAGGCATGTAGCAAAAAGAGTTAATGGTTTAGGAATCATGTGCTACTATGCAGGTCACTCCGACATCAGCTAAGTTAAAGTTACTGGTATACTAAAATGTGAAATCATCTGATGCTGCCTTATATCAAAATAAAAATCTGGCACCTTGTGACTTTTGCATTACATAAGTAGAAGTTTTGGTGTGTACAGGATTAGTCATAAGATAAATCCTCATCTATCTATATATAGATCAGAGTATTCCACTGTTTTGGACCTTCTATTGTGACTAAAAGTGTGATAGAAGAACACAAAGAAAAGCCATCAGCTGTCAAAGCTTTGAGTTGGAGCATCTAAATTTAGAGTCACTTCAAACAACTCAACTCCAGTTTAAGATTTTCTCTTGACAGGACACTAAAGTACAGCAGTAGCTCTCAGTCATGTCAGTGTGGACGGTGTTAAGAGTGAGTGTGCTTTCATGAGCCCCTGACAACACTGTAAGTCCTTTTGTCTGCATGTCATTGTGGTGTACAGTATGATGGCTTGGAGGACAAAGAGCTTCAAAAACTGAGGTGTGCTTTATCACTCTGTTTGTGAGCGAGCTCACCAGCTGCACCTCCATCAGACCTTTTGCCAGAATATTGATTGAAATTGTTATATTGGGTGTGATTGTGCATACCAGAAACATCCATAAAAAGTTCTGTAAACACATTTGTTACTGTGTTGTATTTGTGGGTGGGGTAGGAAGAAGAAACAAAAGGATATTGCTTTACACCATCATTATGGACAGAATGTAATGAGCATCCTAAAGCAGACTGCCAACAACAGAAGGCAAAAATACAATAAAGCGAGGCAGCCTGTGCACTTCGAAGAGGAATTTCAATAGAGCCTTTATGGATTTAGCTCAGTGCCTCTCTCATTGACTTTGTGCATTTGCTGTTAGGGAGGAAAATGCACACTAAGTTGTTTTTATTACTCGGCAAAGACAAGGGGGGAGGGGGTCACCTTCACACTGACTCTCTCAACAGCGTGAACAGACTCCTCCTGTCTTTATCATCTTTATTTTATTCACAAATGTGCCAGAGCTTAAAAAGAGAAAAACACTGCAGACTAACATATTAAATATGAGCTAATGGCTAGTGAGAGAGTTAACAATGTTTGAAGGACATTTTAAAAGTATGCAGTTACATAAACAACACAGTGGTAGCAGTAAGAAACCCAAAGGGTGTGCTAGGCTGGAGCAGCAGTTAAAAACCAGCCTGAAATAAGCACCCACCCACATACACGTGCACACACGCTCAAACGCAACACACACACACACACACACACACACAGAATAAGTTAATTAGACAAAATGGCTTAAGGGAATTGGCAACTAAATCACTTTAGCTTTTTCTCCAAGCTGACAATGAGATTTAATTATGCAGTGAAGCTTGTGATGACAAAGTACACCTATAGAAAGTCTGGACTGACAAACGAAATCACACAGACATCCGCACTAAGGGACAATTGATAAAACTGATTGATTAATATCAGTTTATGACAGATGTCTTAATGTATGTCAGTGAGTGAATAACCAAAACTGCTGAATATCCACACGATTTCCCCAGACATCTTCATCAAAGTTCTTCAAGCATTTAAAGCTGCACTAGTTCATATTTTTTATATTAAAATGGCTCTATTTGATAGTTTTATACTAATAATGCATCAAATGACAATGGGAAACTAATATGACATTGTGCCAATAATGCTGAACCAAAGGATAATAATCCCGAGAATCTGTGACTCCTTGTGGCTTTACTTCCTGCTGCTTTATGTTTACCGCACATATACTGTAAGAGTGGCATTGAGCCTCTCAGCAAGAAAGCTGTAATAAATAAATGTATTTCCCAAAATGTCAAATCTTTAAGGAATCCTTAAAATGTAGTTGTTTTATGTTCATGAAAAATTATATAACAAGATTTTTTAAAACTCCCAAACATCAGTGTTGGCTTCAAAAATCCAGTATCAGCTGCATGGACATGTTGATCAGATAAAAACGCACATAACAAAAATTCTATCACTGCCAGTCTTTTTCTTATAAATGGCAGATATGGAGTCCAATAAGCTACAGATATAAAAATGAGCAGCAGTTTCTTTAGATGAGAAACGTGGTTTGGATTGAATTCTTTTTGCTTTTACTCGGTGTTCAGCTGCATTCTGCAGCTATCATCATCATTCCCTTTCCTTGACTACATGCCTCATTTTTGAAAAAGCTTCATATCCACACTGTCTGATCTCCTCGGGAGGGCTTTGGGGATTAGCTACATCACTCTGCAGTTAGTTTTAAAATCATACGCCTCCCCAAAATAGTGCTCTGAGCTAATGCCTTAATCATTGTGCGCAAGGAGTGATGGCTTAGCTAAGTCTGCAAGACAGGAGTCAGTCTTGGCACTGCTGTGTCCCATTTGCAGGATGTTAGTTATCATCATCTTGGTGCTTATGAAATATGTACACATAAAAAGACTGGCATAGAACAGTTGTTCTAATAATCTTGTCACTAACTCTAAGCTAATTCCTTTAACAGTTGATCGGCTCATGAATTCTGGACCACAGCTCTTACTTTAAATCACCACAGCTTAGTCGACTTTCTCATCCTTCTCCAGAATTAATTAGTCCTAATTTTGTTGCGTTTCCATTGGAGATTTTATATAAAATGTCAATGCATCATTATAAGGAACACTTTGTGAATTACACTAAAATTTGTGGTTAGATTTTCCTCATTTGTCTCTTTTGTGATCAACAAATAAGCATCATTCTTGGTTTTTAGTTGATGTGTCCACTAGAGGGAGCTATTTACTGTTAACGGAGCTGCCAGATGCCATGAAATCCTCCTCCCAAATACAACCCCTGCTCTAAGGTCCCTGCAGAGGATTTCTGTTTGTCTTAGCAGAGATATTAAAACCACCCTTGACCTAAAAGTGTTCTGCTCATTGTTTCCTCAATTTACAATTAACATTCATCACCACGAGGTAAATATTTTCTGATTTAAAAAAAAAAAAAAAATCTTCACACACAAAAAGACAAAAGAAGTGTTTGTTGCCTAAGATGCTATGGTTTCACCACAGCAGCTTTATTATTAGCAAAATAATTAGTCCACTAATGTCCCCATTCTATGGAAACAGGGGGCTGGGATGTAAGGGGGTGGTAGGTAACTTGAAACCATCACAGATCAGAATCGATAACAATGCACTTGTACCCCGTACAGTCTATGGTCACGTGTGTGTCTGCCAGTGCACTGAACACAGATCTACGTATGGTCCTACTGTCTGCTTCAAGGCTGCCACTGGCATCCTCTTTTCAAAGCTTCTCTTTAACTTCCTGATTGGGAATGTTTCAGTTTTTAGCAGTGCACCAACAACGTGCACTCATTAATTAGAGTAGCTTCTTTTTGGTCACTTAGAAAAATAAAACTTTGAAAGAGGATGACAAGTAGAGGAATAAAATCCCTTTTGTTTTAAATTGTGCACACATCCATACATACACACACACACACATACACACACACGCGCGCATGCGCATGATTTTGGCCTCACTCAATCAAGGAGCACACATGCAAACTACACATCCAGAAATGTTTACA